GCAAAAATCCTCAACAAAATTCTAGCCAATAGAATTCAGCAACATATCAAAAAAATAATTCACCATGATCAAGTGGGATTCATACCAGGTATGCAGGGATGGTTCAACATTAGGAAAACAATCAATGTAATCCATCACATTAATAAAACAAAAGACAAGAACCACATGCTCTTACCAAATGATGCAGAAAAGGCATTTTAGAAAGTCCAACACCCATTCATGATAAAAACCCTCAGCAAAATAGGAATAGAAGGAAAATTCCTTAACATAATTAAGGGCATTTATACAAAGCCAACAGCCAACATCATCCTAAATGGAGAGACTTTGAAAGCATTCCCCTTGAGATCGGGAACCACACAAAGATGCCCTTTATCACCGCTCTTATTCAACATTGTGCTGGAGGTCCTAGCCAGAGCAATTAAGCTAGAAAAAGAAATAAAGGGCATCCAAACTGGTAAGGAAGAAGTGAAAGTATCTCTATTTGCAGATGATATGATCTTATACACAGAAAACCCCAAAGAATCCACAAGAAAACTACTGGGACTAATAGAAGATTTCAGCAAAGTATCAGGATACAAGATAAACATACAAAAATCAGCTGGATTCCTCTACACCAACAAAGAGTACTCTGAAGAGGAAATCACCAAATCAATAACATTTACAACAGCCCCCAAGAAGATAAAATACTTAGAAATAAATCTAACCAGAGACGTAAATGATCGATACTATGAAAACTACAAGACACTACTGCAAGAAACCAAAAGAGAGCTGCATAAGTGGAATAACATACCTTGCTCATGGATAGGAAGACTCAACATTGTGAAAATGTCAATTCTACCCAAACTGATCTACAGATACAATGTAATCCCGTTTCAAATTCCAACGGCATTTTTTAATGGAGAAACAAATCACCAACTTCACATGGAAAGGGAAGAGGCCTCGGATAAGTAAAGCATTACTGAAGAAGAAGAACAAAGTGGGAGGCCTCACACTACCTGATTTTGGAACCTATTATACTGCCACAATAGTCAAAAAGCCTGGTACTGGTACAACAACAGATACATAGACCAATGGAACAGAATTGAGAGTCCAGATGTAAATTCATCTACCTATGAGCAGCTGATATTTAAAAAAGGCCCAAAGTCCATTAATTGGGGAAAAGACAGTCTCTTTAACAAATGATGCTTGCATAACTGGATATCCATCTGCAAAAAAATGAAACAAGACCCACACCTTATACCATGCACAAAAACTAACTCAAAATGGATCAAAAACCTAAATATAAAATCAAAAACAATAAAAATCATGGAAGGAAACACAGGGACAATGCTAGGAGCCCTAATACATGGCACAAATAGAATACAAAACATAACGAACAATGCACAAACACCACAAGACATACTGGATAACTGGGAGCTACTAAAAGTCAAACACTTATGTTCATCAAAAGACTTTACCAAGAGTCAAAAGACAACCCACAGACTGGGAAAAAATTTTTGACTACGACAAATCCGATCAGCATCTAATCTCTAAAATCTACAAGATACTGCAAAACCTCAACAACAAAAAGACAACCCAATTGAAAAATGGGCAAAAGATATGAACAGGCACTTCACCACCGAAAACATTCAGGTGGCTAACAGACACATGAAATGCTCACGATCATTAGCCATTAGAGAAACACAAATCAAAACTACAATGAGATATCATCTCACCCCAACAAGGCTAGCATTAATCCAAAAAACACAAAATAATAAATGCTGGAGAGGTTGTGGAGAGACTGGAACACTTATACACTCTTGGTGGGAATGTTAAATGGTACAACCACTTTGGAAATCAATTGGGCACTTCGCTAAAAAGCTAGAAATAGAAGTACCATATGAGCCTGCAATCCTGCTCCTTGGAATATATCCTGGAGAAATAAGAGCCGTCACATGGATAGATATATGCACACCCACGTTCACTGCAGCACTGTTCATGATAGCAGAAAGATGGAAACAACCTAGGTGCCCATCAACAGAGTAATGGATAAAGAAATTATGGTATATTCACACAATGGAATACTACGCAATGATAAAGAACAATGATGAATCCGTGAAACATAATGTGGAGGAATCTCGAAGGCATTATGCTGAGTGAAATTAGTCGCAAAAGGACAAGTATTGTATAAGACCACTATTATAAGAACTCAAGAAAAGGTTTAAACACAGAAGAAAACATTGTTTGATGGTTACGAGGGTAGGGAGGGAGGGTGAGGGTTATTCACGAATTAGATAGTAGACAAGAATTATCTTAGGTGAAGGGAAGGACAACACACATTACAAAGAAAGTCAGCACAAGTGGACTAAACCAAAAGCTAAGAAGTTTCTTGAATACAAGCTAACACTTTGAGGGACAGAGTAACAGGGGCAGGGGTCTGGGGACCATAGTTTCAGAGGATATCTAGGTCAATTGGCATAACAAAGTTTATTAAGAAAATGTTCTGCAGCCCACTTTGGTGTGTGGCATCTGGGGTCTTAAAAGCTAGCGAGTGGCCATCTAAAATGTATTGGTCCCAACCCACCTGGAACAAAGGAAAATGAAGAACACCAAAGACACAAGGAAAATACTAGCCCAAGAGAGAGTAAGGGCTACATAAACCAGAGACTCCATCAGCCTGAGACCAGAAGAACTAGATGGTGCCTGGCTACCACCAATGACTGCCCTGACAGGGAACACAACAGAGTCCCTGATGGAGCAGGAGAAAAGTTGGGTGCACAACTCAAATTCTAGTAAAAACACCAGACTTAATGGTTTGACTGAGACTGGAGAGACTCTGGAAGACATGGCCCTCAGACTCTGTCAACCTAGAACTAAAACCATTCCTGAGACCAACTCTCAGGCAAAGATTAAAGTGGACTATGGGACATAAAATGATGCTTGTGAAGAGTGTGCTTCTTAGCTCAAATAGATACATGAGACTAAATGGGCAGCTCCTGTCCGGAGGCGAGATTAGAAGGCAGAGAGGGTCAGGAGCTGGTTGAATGGACACGGGAAATCCAGTGTGGAAAGGAGGAGTGTGCTGTCACTGTACAGGGAGAGCAACCAGGGTAACAAAACAAGGTATGTATAAATTTTTGTAGGGGAAACTAACTTGAATTGTAAACTTTCACTTAAAGCACAAAAATAAATAAATAAATAAATTAGATCATAACATTCTTTTGCTTAAAACCTTCTAATTGCTTACCAAATCCAAACCCATTACCGTGACCCTCTGGGCTTGACGGTCTTGAATGTCCCCATGGCTCCCTCTTTCACTTCCTTTAGGCTGCTGCTCAGCTGCTTCTCAGAGAGGCCTTCCCTGACCACCCCATCTAAAGTAGCTCTCCCTCCTTTCACCCCTTGCCCCTATTCAGACTCTGCATTCTCTATACCCTTTCTTATCCCTCTTTATTTTTCTTTTTAAAGCGCATATTACCACCTGACATATCTGTTATTATCTGTCTCCTCCTCTGGAACATAAGCTAAATGATGTCAGGGTTTTCGTCTCTTATTTACCAATATATTCTTACAGCCTAGAATTCTTACAGCAGGCCCAGCACACAGTAGGTGTTCAATAAATATTTGTTGGAAAGAATGAATAGATACTGGTCCTTATGTAAACTCCCAGCAGCCAAGCCAAGGCTCATTGGGAAAGCTACTCACTGACTAAGGAAGGCAAAGAGGTATCTCATGATGATCAGAGTGGTTTTGGGCAGAGCCAGGAGGACTTTTCGGATATGCAGCGCTCTCTCTTGCAGATTGTCCATTACTGAAAGAAGAAAGGCACACGTTATCCTCCACTGTGGCTGAGACCCCAAGGAGTCATGGCCAGAAATCTCTTACTTTCTGTAGGTGTAACACTGAGAGCACCTAGGTAAAGCTCACACACAGTGAAAGGGTTTCATCCCTGTGTTCTTGGGTGGGGCTTCTGTGACAGGCACACGCTGAGCTGCAGATAATTACCAACGCAGGACTTAAGGTGTATGTTCCATGGGCACAGAAGGGGCTGGGGATGTCCCCTACTCCACCTATCACTCTCTTATTAAAACAACCACAGACAAGGAACTGTCCATAAACCTGCTATGATCGCTCAACATTCAGCCTTGGAGGGTCTAGCTCTGGGGAGGGAGAGGCTGTGCAGGCTCTGTACTGCCCAGTCTATACATGTCACCCATCCTCTGGATAAGGCTGGCTTATCTTCCGCTCCTTATCTACAGCAGGAATGAGCAGAACGTCGCCAAAGGCAGGGGATGGCAGAGACCTGTGTAAGTAGCGATATCTGGGAAGAAGACCAGAGACGTTTCCTGACTGTGTACTGCTGACAGGCTAATTACAGGTAGGGCCCCTGGTCTGAGGCCTCCACCATGGCTGCCTCCCACTCCCCCAGTGTGCCACGTGGATGTTAGAGTTTTCTGTGAGTGCCTTTATGTGAAAAACAACTGGGAAGGGTGGATTAGAAGCAAGACTACATCTCAAGAGGAGAACTGAGTAACCAAGTTATCTCGTACTGTCTTGGTATTCCCAGTCCAGCAGAAGACTAAAAGCTAGGCCCAGTTCTGGAAACAGACACGGTCAGAGAGATGCATGTATTTAACCACCCACATAACTCATTTCCACTAGACTCTCACAAATGAGTGGGTCAATAAATAACAAAACAAGAGAATTAGCCTCCTGAAAGCTCAACGGCCTTTCTCTCTTGGAATAACTGAGAGAGGGACAGGCACTCAGGGCATATACTGAGTCAAAGTGGAAAGTCAGGGGCCGTGAAGACCCTGGTCCACCTGGGAAGAAGGATCTTTTCTTCATTTCAAAGGCACTACCCACTCCAGCCTCTGGAGTCATCATTCAGATGGGGTCTGCTTCCAGAAGGGCCTGATATTAACCCAGGTTTCCATGAATTGCTTTCCATGGAAAACAAATGAGAGGATGTTCCAGTATTATGAGCTAAACTAAATGGCCAAGAATAGCTTTTTAAGCCCCAAATTTTTGGGTAACAAAATTTTATCTAACAGAGATAAAGTAGAGAATATATTTCTCTCTGGGCAAATATCATATTGCTACTTTTAAGTATGCAGAGGACTTTTATTCCTAGAAGAATACATATTAACACATCTAGCAAGTACTGTCATGCCTTGTTTAAAGCATCAAGCAGGAAATACTCGCTGCTGTGCTTTTCTCCCTTTGTATCATGAAAAGCACAAGCACTAATGTATAAGCTTCAAATAATTGAAAAGGACCGTATCTTTTATATGAATATAAAGGTATTTTGCTGAAGGAAGATAAAACCCAGAGAAACAAAGGAGGCAAATCAGAGAGAAAAAAGCCAGGAGTCCTGACTTATGATTCTACACTCTTACTGAAAAGTCACATGCCCTCTCCTACCAGGAGATGAAGACGTGACAGGAGGAGGAGGAGGAGGAGAAACTTCATTGGGGAAAAGGGAAAACTTTACTGAAACGCATAAGAGAAACCAAGACCCCATGGGAATTTTTTATCTATTGCTACAAGGTCTGGGGATAAACCTTCTGAGCTCTGCCCAGAATCCAGTCTGAGGCCAAACTAATACGTACTGACGCAGGCAATCAGGTCGTGGAAGATGTCCTTGGGGAAGAGAGGGTGTTCCAGCCCCCGGAAGTAAAGCTTCAGGACGCCAGCTATGGAGTCCATGTCATGGTCATTTTGGTCCCCAGCCAGGGGGTCCTCTCCTGGGGATAAACAACCCCCCCAAAATGAAAAAACAGAGTGAGAAAGGCAAAAAATACAGAGGATGAGGCAGCGGTGGTGAGGAAAGAGTGACCTATTTATGTCCTAGCCCCAGTCCACCAGCTCTCTGCCCAGCATGGTGGCTACATCGGGGGGAGGACCAGGGAATGGATAAAGCAGAGGCTGCTCAGGCTCAGGGCTCCAGGGCCAGAGGAGGGGCAGGAGAGTCCATCAGCATCAACTCTTTGTGCCAGACTAGCTCGGGGACACTCCCTGTGGGCTGGGGATGGGTCACAGCACCTGCCTTTCTCATAAGAATCATGAAACCAGGCTGGGAGTGAGCCCCTAGGGAAGGAAAATGAGGCCAGGGAGCCTAGCTCGTCTGACTCTCACTCCTCCTGGCCTGCAACAAAGGACACCTACTTACAGGAGAACAACCGTGCCAGAGCTCCCTATGGAAAATTGCATATCAGATGTAATTAGATTTAATGATAGGACCAACCTCAAATTGAAACTATATATATCCATTACAGTGACGGAAATTGCCAAAGCTCGCCCATTACCTTAATTGCCCACAAGATAATAAATGGGCTACGATGAACAGGCGCATTAGCCTTGATATTAACTGCCACCAAGGGTTCCGGATGAAGCCATAAACCGCCCAGCTATCATAGTTAACTTCTTGGGTTTCGGTATTCGGTAGATCACCGCGGAGAGAGGCAGGATGAATGGGGCTGAGGGAGGAAGGAAGGAGATGGGATGTGCCCCAGTGGTTTTTTCCTGCATAGGCAAGGGGCCAGTGTCTACAAGAGAGCAGGTGCCCTGGCTGAAGAGGGAGGCGAGCTGGCTTCCTAACCTCTGGGACCTCCCAGGGGAGAAAGGGTGGAGTCAATACAGGGGGTGAGGAGGCAGGTAGGGAAAACATTTGGTTTATCTTCAAGGCTGTTTCCTCACCTCTCTCAAAGGCGTTTTTGATGTCGTTGACTTCCACTTGGGATCCCGACACCCGGAAAATTCCTTCATGTTGTAGTCCTGGAAAACAGACAGGGAAAAGTGATCAAGGAGAAGAAAAAGCAAACTCACAAACCCAGCTCCAAGTTTAGTTGACTGTCTCTCTCCCCCAGCCAGTGTTCATTTAAGCACCCAGGGGATCTAGTCTCTCTTCTTCAGACCAAAAGAGAAAAGCATGTACCAGAATGTTGGAAAAATCACTGGAATGACCATAAGGCATTAGCCTAAAGAAAGCACCAAGTAAGTGATTTAAATGCAGAGGCATTTGCACCTGACTTCACCTCTGACTACCAGGGAGACTACAGGCAAGTTCTTTACCTTACCTTTGCCTCTCTGTTCCCATCTGCAAAACGGAGGACGGGACCATCAGAGGAGTTTCAAAAGGTCTGAATAATTATAGAGGCTGCTCTCTAATTACTGTGTTAGCTATGTCAAACCTCTTCAATTGTTCTAGCGGACAATTCTTTCAATATTTAATGAAAAAAGATGTAAATATATAAGCGATTGGTCAATAGATATTATTGCCAGACATCGTGCTAGCCACTGGCCCTTGACTGCAGCTTTACTCTGATAATAATAAATAATGCTTGCTCCTAGCTGTCACGGATTGAATTGTGTCCCCTAAAAAATGTGTGTCAACTTTTCTAGGTCGTGATCATCGGTATTGGGTGGTTGTCCACCATTTTGTGATCTGACGTGATTATCCTATGTGTTGTAAATCCTAACCACTATGATGTTAATAAGGCAGGATTAGAGGCAGTTATATTAATGAGGCAGGACTCAATCTACAGAATTAGGTTGTATCTTGAGTCAATCTCTTTTGAGATATAAAAGAATCGAGCAGAGAGGAGAGGGACCTCATTACTACCAAGCAAGAAGAGTCAGGAGAGTGCACATCCTTTGGACCAGGGGTCCTTGGGCTGAGAAACTCCTAGACCAGGGGAAGATTGATGACAAGGAACTTCCCCCAGAGCTGACAGAGAGAAAGCCTTCTCCTAGAGCCGGCACCCTGAATTTGGACTTCTAGCCTCCTAGGCTGTGACAGAATAAATTTCTGTTTGTTAAAGCCATCCACTTGTGGAACTTCTATTATAGCCGCAACTAGATAACTGAGAATCTGGTACTGGTACAGTGGGGTGCTGTTCTAACAGATATCTAAAATGTAAAAGCAGTTTTGAAACTTGGAATGGTAGAAGCTGGAAGAGTTTTAAAGTGCCTAATAGTAAAAGCCTAGATTGGCTTGAAAAGACTATTGGTGGCATTATGGACATAGAAATTCTGGTGAGGGCTCAGAAGGAAGTGAGGAGAGCTCTAACACTGGAGATGGCACAGACGGCGGGAAGCAGCAGTAGAGAAACAGCAGCAGCAGAACCAGGAGACCAACGTGAGACAGTGCTGGAGCCGACCCATGGAGTGAGAGAGCTGAATGCCTTTCAGCAGAGGTTTACTGGCAGAGTGGGGTGCCTCAAAGCACTTACTGGTGGAGCTACAGAGCTTTGGAACGCTTACCCCAGCAGGGCAGACTTGGGCGGCAAGGCCCAAGGGGCCAAGAGGCCAAGGAACCAGGAAACAGAAGCTGAAGAGACAAGAAACACAGGAAGCAGAGCTGCCTCAGTCTCAAAGGGTAGGGCCACAACTTCTGGGGTCTCAAAGGGTGGAACCATGGCTTCTGGGGTTTCAAAGGGTGGGGCCATACCACAGCCTCCTAGGTTTCAAAGAGTCAGATCTTCACCAACTTTGTTCTGGAGTGTGGGGCTGCCTTTCATGAGTGCCAGCGGGATGGGGCCAGATCCGCTGCCCAAAGCTGAGGGGGTGGGGCTGCCACACCCAAAGGAGCAGAAGAACGGGGCCTGCTGGGCCCAAGGGGGTAGGGTCGCTACTCAGACGAACTAGGAGAATGGAGCTGCCCAAATGCAAGGGAGCAAAGTTGCTATTCTAGTGGGCCTGTAAGGCAGAACTGAAACCCAGGGGTGAGGGGCCTCCACCCGGAATCCAGAGAGTGTGGCCAACACCCAGAGTCTGGAGGGCAGGACCACTGCCTAAATGGTCTCAGAGAACAGAGGATTATTTTCAAGGCTTGAGAGCTAACGTAATGTATTCTGCTGACTTGCTTGGTGCCTGTTATGCCTTCTTTCCCTCCAATTTATCCCATTTGTAATGAAAATGTCTAGCTTGTGCCTGTTTCACCATTGTACTTTGGAAGCAGAAAACTTGTATTCTAGACTTCACAGATGAAGAGGAATTTTGCAGAAGATGGAATTTAGACTTGGAGTTGATTTAAGACATTTGGGATGATATGATGGGGTGAAAGTGTTTTACATGTGGCAAGGATATGAATTTTGGGGGGGTCAAAGGGTAAAATGTTATGGATTGAATCGTACTCCTCCAAAATGTGTGTCAACTTGGCTAGCCACAATTCCCAGTACTGTGTGGTTGTCCAGCATTTTGTGATCTGATGTGATTATCCTATGTGTTGTAAATCCTAACCTCTATGATGTTAATGAGGCAGGATTAGAGGCAGTTATGTTAATGAGGCAGGACTCAATCTACAAGATTAGGTTGTATCCTGAGTCAATCTCTTTAAAGATACGAAAAGAGAAAATAGAGCGGGGGTGGGGAGGTGGTGGCTCATTACCACCAAGCAAGAGTCAGGAGCGAACGCGTCCTTCAGAAACTCCTAGACCAAGGCAAGATTGATGACAAGGACCTTCCCCCAGAGCCGACAGAGAGAGCATGCCTTGTCCTGGAGCTGGCACCCTGAATTTGTATTTCTAGCCTCCTAGACTGTAAGAGAACAAATTTCTCTCTGTTGAAGCCATCTATTTGTGGTATTTCTGTTATAGCAGTACTAGATAACTAAGACACTAAGTATACATCCAAACAAATTGAAAATAGGAACACGAACAGAATCTTGTACACCAGTGTTGACTGCAGCACTGTTTACAATAGCCAAAAGGTGGGAACAACTCAACTGTCCATCAACACATGAATGGATAAGCAAAATGTGGTACATACACACAATGGAGTATCATTCAACCACAAAAAAGAATGCAGTTCTGACATATGTTACAACATGGATGAATCTTGAAAACATTATTCTGAGTGAAATAAGTATGACTATCTAGAATAGGCAAGTGTATAGAGACCAAAGTTTATTACTGGTTACCAGGGGTGGGAAGGAGGCAGAAAAGACAGTCTTTGTTTAGAGGGCACTGAATTTTTGCTAAGGGTGGTGGAATAATTTGGAAGCGGACGGTGGTAAACACGATTGATCGTACATGTAAAAAATGTCAAATAGGCAAATATTTTGTTTTATGTACATATATATTTTTAAATAATATTTTATTGTGTTTTTGGTGAAAGTTTACACAGCATGTTACGTTCCCATTTAACAATTACTACACATATCATTCAGAGACATAGTTACATTTTTCACAATGTTTTAAAATTCTCATTAATTCTCTTCCGGACATTTGCTTCCAGTAATCTTGTTTCCCTGACCCCTTACCCTTTCATCTTTGCTTTAAAGTAACTGTTGACCATTTGGTCTGTTATATATATTCTTAGCCACAAGAAAACAAACAAAAACAATGCTCATATAGTGCTTTGCTGTTAACAGATACTTTCACAGAAACAAATCATCTGGTCCTCACAAGAGCCATGTAAGGTAGGGGTTACCCTTTTCTAGATGAAGGGACTGATGAGTTATGACAAGCCTTAGGTTATGTATGTATAAGAACCACAGCCATCCTCCCTCTCCACTGGCTCCAGCCCTGTGCCACCCTCCTCCCCATCGGCTCTGCACTGCTGCTCCATGGCACAGCAGAACAGGCCTTGTGCCACACCCCTCCCCACCAGCTCTACCCCACTGCGCTGCAACAAATGATCCAGGCCCACACCCTTATCCACCTCCATCCCCACTCCCCCTGCTGCATCACAGCTGAGTGACTAGTGCTTCCTATCCACACAAGGTGGTAAGAGCTATCATGCCCACAGATGAGCAAGCAACAAAGCACTCCTGGCCCACACAGACATATCAAAACCAAACAAAAAAGCAAGATGAAACAAACAAATTTACTATCAATAAATAAGGAAAACAAAATACCTAAATGTGTCACAGTCAGCAGACAATATTAAAACATAAAAGATCAGGACAAGATAGCTCTAGCAAGTGACCAAAATAAAGCATTAGATGACCTGCAGGTAGAAGTAAAGGCATTGGAACTACCTGATATGGAATTAAAAAATCTAATATTCAGGGCGCTCCAACAGATTGGAAACCCCGGTGACATAGTGGTTAAGAGTTCGGCGGCTAACCAAAAAGTTGGCAGTCCAAATCTACTAGGTGCTCCTTGGAAACCCTGTGCGGCAGTTCTACTTTATCCTATAGGGTTGCTATGAGTCAGAATCGACTCTACAGCAACGGGAAATAAGACAGGAAAATACAGATGAAATAATGGAAAACATAGACAAAACCAACCAAAACATAGCCAAACTGAAGGAAAACACAGACAAAGCAATAGAAGAATTCAGGAAAATAATATAAGAACAAAATATCAAAATAAACAAACAACTAGAAATCATATAAAAGCAGCAACTAGAAATCCAAAAGAAAAACAACAAAATTTCAGATATGGACAACTCAATACATGGCTTAGGAGCAAATTTGAAACAATGGAAGACAGAATCAGCAAAATTGAAGACAAATTCACTGATGCCACTTTGAGGAAAAATCAGAGAAAAAAAGTAAAGAAAAGTAAGAATAATGTGGGATACAATCAAGAGCAAAAATTTGCGCGTGATCAGAGTTCTGGAACAGAGGGAGCAAATGGAAGACACACAGAGAAGATTGTTGAAGATTTGCTGGCAGAAAACTTGCCAAATATCATAAAAGACAAAAAGCTGACCATCCACATCCAAGAAGCTCAAGGAACTCCAAATAGGGCAGACCCCAAAAGAAAGTCACCAAAACTTATCATACTCATACTCGCTAAAATCAAAGACAAAGAAAGAATCCTGAG